CGTTGGGGGCCTGAGGCTCAAGGCAGGTGGGCCCCAAGACCTCCCCCCAACAGGCCGGAGTAGGGTAGGGGCTGGAGGGACAAGCCCTCAGGACGCAGGAATTCAGGACTGACACTGGCTACATTCCATGTGTCTTTTAAAACAAAGCACAACTCGCTCTTCAGTAAACTCTGTGAAATATTATTCTCCCCTCGAACAAAAAAATCTGAGCCAAACACACCTTTACGGCATACTCACTTTTGCTTGGCTTTTAAGAAAACCTCTCAAGCAAAGCTGTGACATCGACCTAGGCCCAGTGTCCCGATCCTGGTGGCTCTCTTGCAAGGCGGTGCCTGGGATTCCATCACCGCCAACCCAAGGTCTGTGTCTGCATATGGCTCCTCTGTTACCCACAACTTTTTTCTTTTTTAAGACAATGACCTTTCCACTCTAATGTTATTTTTAAGCCAAGGAAAAATCTCCAAGAGCAGGCTGAATTCAAAAACAAAACAACAACAAAAAACTTTTTTAAAGAGAAAACCCGAGAATGTGATCACAGGCAGAATGGAAAAAGCAAAATAAAGCAGCTGAGTTGTGGGGCCCAGAGCGGGGATCGCATCTGATCTGACGATGGATAGCAGCTGGCCCAGGACTTGGGGAACCTGAAACAGCCCCTGCGGGCTGCAGGAAGCAAAGATGGTGATGCTGATGGCGATGGTGATAATGATGGTGATGGCAATCCTGCCGCAGCGCCTGGCCTCAAGAGAGCCCTGGCCCTCTGGCCCTGGGTACCTTGAGGCTGGAGCTGGGGTCTGGGGGGAGGGGCTAGCTCCAGGATCCCACGCTAGGAGCCAGCAGGGTGTGTCCAGCCCAGATACTCCTCAGCCCCTTCCTGTGCACCTCACTGACTATGACCTCACGCGAGGGGAGAGCTGTGACAGGTATGTCAGTGGCCCTGACCCACTGCTGCTCCTCGGGCACCCAGGTCCCCTGACCAAGGGCAAAGGCAGGGAGTTTTTTTTTAAAAAAAAAAAAACAACTATGAGATGACTGCTCAGGAAAATTGAATGTTCTCCTCATTCCTTAGGGAAGCAACAGCCTAGAATACAGAACACACAACCAGACTCTAAGATGATAGAGTCGGCTACACTAAAATCATACTTTACGGGCTTCCCTGGTGGCGCAGTGGTTGAGAGTCCGCCTGCCGATGCAGGGGACACGGACGGGTTCGTGCCCCGGTCCGGGAAGATCCCACATGCCGCGGAGCGGCTGGGCCCGTGCGCCATGGCCGCTGAGCCTGCGCGTCCGGAGCCTGCGCTCCGCAACGGGAGAGGCCACGGCAGTGAGAGGCCCGCGTACCG